CCCAGAGAGACGCTGCTCATACCAGAAAAGACTATTGAAAGATGATTTATTTTATTTTTCTCTGACCTTTCCATCCTTGGGAAAATGGGGAAAAAAAAAAATCGACCATAAAAAAAAAAATCAGAAAACCCCCACCTAATCCATAGAAAGTGATGTCTTTCCCCTCTCCTTGGAATTTTTTTTTTGTTTTGTTTTGTTCTTGGAAATAATATTTTTTTAAAAGTTGCCTTATTGTGGAGCGGGAATCTGAAATAATACCCAAATGCCTGTTTTCCTCTATGGAGTTGACCTGAAGAGCTCCCACCTTCTCTGGATGTGCCTGGGCTTGAACTGGCTACAATCTTTCTCTGGACTGAGTTGCATGTACAGTGTCTCCTGCCTAGAGGCAAGACAGTTGGGACAGCTGTATCAGAGCTATGCCCAAAATATCCCTGCTGTTGCATCGTTTGAAGCTGACGTCCTGTGTCTGTACACTGCTGCCATTGTCATGTCCTCGCTCTGCTTGCTGTTGCCTCACGCCAGGCCCTGTCCTGCTGTGACATCCTTCATCTTACCCTTGGAACCCCAAGGCCAAGTTTGCTTCAAACTGTTGGAAAACAGAGTTGGCCTGGATCTGGAACATACTCATCCTCAGCTTTGAACGTCTCCCCCAACCTAAAGGGGAAAGGTGAACACCCGGCAGCTGAGGCTTGGATCTGTTTCTCACATTGTCCTGAAAGATCTGAGATCCCAAGGAGGCTTTGTCTCATACAAGGTGAAGAAAGGTGCCATTCTCCTCTGAGGGTCTGGTGGGGTCTTCCCATTTTGCATTCCCTCCTCCTCCCTGCAAGCCATCTCCCTCTTAATTGGCCCCACCTGGGAACAAGGGATGAGGAGGAATTGGGGGCTGGGGGGAATCCTGCCAGTTGGTGAAGCCCTGTGGCAGGAAGGTATATGTGGACATAGAGTATACCTGACTTCTCTTCTCTAGCCACTGACTTGTCTAAGTTGGGCTGCAAATGACAGTGGAATGGCTGGAGTCTACTGTCATTGGAAGCTAAGGAGGTGACGAAGGACTGGCCCGCACAGACTGGAATGTGTGTCAGTACAGGCCTGGCTGTGTGCTCACCTCCAGCGGGACCTGGGCAACATGAGAAGTTTGTGGTCTTGTTGCTCAGTTACTAAAACTTCTGTGGCCCTCCTTGTCACCAGGTTCTTGAGTTGGCCCAAAGGTTGGGAGTAGATAGGAGAGACAGTGTTCCAAGCTGACAAGGGCTTGCCCTCTGTCTTTGGGTACCTTGTTGCTGTTAGCCTGTGCTCTCCCCGTGCTTAGTGTGTGGTGAGTCCATCTCCAGTTTCTAGGACCCAGTCATCTTGACCAAGCATGAATATCAGTGTCTGCTATGTCAGTGAGTTCTGAGGCCTTTCCCTGACCAGACTGGTGCCTGTCCTACATTGTACCAGACACTGGGCTCCTGGACCCCATTCTCCTTCCCTTCATTTCCCGTTTTGTTTTTCTTTTTTCCTTTGGTCACTCAGCCCCACTATACCCAGCACTACAAAACCACAGGGTTTGGTCTCTGCTGGGTTGGGGGACACAAGGAGACCCAAGGTGAGGAAAAGGCTGTCCTTATCCAGACTTCACCCAGGCCAGGGCTACCATGCTCTCCTTACCCCTCTCATAGGCACCCTTAAGGAGGAAGACCCTTTGGGGTGGGAAGGTGGGGGATTTCATCTCAACATAGGCTGAGGAGGAAGTGGGGAGCTTTTTTTTTTTTTTTTTTTTTTGTAACATGTTAGGAGTTAATGTTGCAAAGAGTAGTTTACATCTTCACTTTCTGAAGACACTTGAATTTAGGACCGATGTATCTGTGATAAGCATGGCAGGAGTGGCAGAGGCCATAAGGCTAGCCACTTCCCATCCACCATCTTCCCACGGGTATGGAAGACTTGAGACACAAGGCAACAACCTGCCCAAACCCCTCTACTCATCCCATACCTTTCCAGGGTTGGTCCTTGCAAAATGACCTTTGGGCAGCAAACAGAAGGTCCACATGCCTCAGCTCTGGTAAGGGGCAGATTTCTCTTAACTCTCCTAAACCAGGGAGCAAATGCACTACCTGTAGAGAAGGCTGCCTGGCCCTGTGCCAGCCTGGATCCCTGGGGCTCAGATGGAGGTGCTGAGCCCACATGTCAAGTTCAGTGTTTTTGTTTTGTTCCACTGTAGCTCTTTTCCCCTCCTTTCTGATGATTGATTTACAAAAGAAAGCTAGCTGCTCAGGAGGCCCTGGAAGTGGGGAAGGAGGAACAAGAAGACATTTAGGGAAGGTGGGAGAGGGTTGCCAAAGGCCTGGGCAGGGTGGCTGGATCATCTGGCACTCTGCTGAATGGGAACCCCAAAGTACATCTTGTGTAGAAGGGTCCTTGGATTTCCCCCAACCCCACCCTTGCCTCCAGCCATGTTGATGGCAGAGGCAGAGAAGATAAGAATTTATAACCTGTTTTCTTGCTGGAGGAAAACTTGTCATCTGGCTTTGCAGAGAAGGTTCCACCGTATGCTCGTAGTACATTATCTATACCATGTTCTAGGATATCACATTTAAAAGGACAAAAAAAAAATGTAAAATACTTGAATGAGCTTGTATTATAACATTAATATTATTGAGAGTATCTGCTTTCCAGGCTGAAGTGATTCATTCATTATTCTAGTCCTGCTTTAGTCCTTTGTAATTTGTGGTAATTATGCTTTTCTTTTTAATACAAAAAAATGTATAAAAATAAAAACTTGAAAAGGCAAAATACTGACTGGTCTCTCATCTAGGGCACTACCATTGGGTTCAGGAAAGGGAGCTCAGTGAGGGTCCCCCGATGCAGAGGAGCCTCAGTTGGGGTGCCTGCCATGGTGCTCTTTGGGGTAGGACTGCCTAAGGCAGGGCTCCTTAGGGCTTCTAGCACATCCAAGTGGCTTCTTATCTTTAGAATGTCTTTACCAGCCTTGGATTCATGTTCATTTTGTGTCTTAGTACTCTTTTTGTTGTTGGTTTTGTTTTGGTACTGGAGTTTAAATTCATTGCTTTGTGCAGGTACTCTACCACTTGAGCCATGCCCCATCCCTTTCACCTTGGGTCTTTAGTGACGTTTGGAAGCCATAGCCAGCACCACAAAAGTGAGAGACAGGGCTGGGGGTATGGGTCAAGTGGTATAGTGCCTGCCTAGCAAGTGTAAGTCCCTGAGTTCAAACCCTAGTATCACCAGAAAAAAAGCAAGAGACATCAGTCCAGCAGATGGAATTTCAGGGATTTCGTCCCACTTTTGGCTCCCAGGTTTACATACCAGCCATGGTGTAGCATTGTAGTAGATGGCCAAGAAGAAAAAAAACATGATTCCTCATAGAGGGTTGGTGCAACCCCTCTCTGAATAACCTTCTGTAGGAAAGGGCTAACAATAATTTGTGGCTTTATGGAGTCCAGGTCAGCCTCTGAGCCTTGAGAGGTAGTGCTAGGGAGGTCCCACTCATTCCATGTATCGTTAAAAAACTAAAGATGAGGCATGGCCTTACTTCATCTAACAACTGTTTTGTCTCCCATACCTGGAACTTCCTATCAAATGGTCTTCTAGATTTCATCATTGTCCTTCAGGTAGGCAGGCACTTCAGTTCACCAACAGGTCAAAAGAAGAGTTTAGAAGATACCACACTTCTGCAGATTGGTACTTTAGCAAGATTTATTCAACCTCACTTCCATACATTCCTGCAGGAATGGTAAGGAAAGAGGGCACTGATTATCCAATTGCCCTGCCTTAGTTTCCAAACATTACAATCATGAGGGTTAGAACAAGTCTTGGAATGAACAGGGGAAAAAAAAAAACTTAAGTATCTACTGAAGTTAAATGGAGATTTTTATTTTACATGCTTTTTCTCCTTTCACATTCATACTTTCTGTTGGAAATCTAAAGCCTTTTCTTCAGCCTCATTTACCAGCTTCAGGGCCATTCTGTTTGATGCAGAAAAAGCTAGGACAAGGCCCCTCTGCTAGGGATGGGCCACCTGCCTGCCAAACGGAATAAGAGAATGAGGGTGTTTAGGCATCTTACAGTACCTCAAGATTGAAGACCTAAAGGGAAAATATGCTTTTGTTTTTATACACTTATCTCCTGCCCCTTAAGTACACTGAAGTTTGGCTTTTTCAGATATTTGTACAAACAAGTAATTGGTACAGGCCAGCAGCCATGAGAATTTAGTACTTTGATACGCATTTCAAGCTAAGGGTACAGAGCTGGGTCCACCAAGGCCAGAGGTATACAGACAGGGATGTGGGAAGCAGGGAGGATGCTGACAGATAAGTGCTTATTAGCCTACCAGGCAAATCCTGGGGTCCTAGTGTCCCTTTTGCTAGTTCTGCCTAGAGACTTGGCCCTATCAGAAGTTAAGGATGAGGTCTTTCAGCTGGGCACCTGTATGTAGCTCATGCCTGTGATCCTAGCTACTTGGGAGGCTGAGATCTGGAGGATTGCAGTTCTAAGGTCAACCTGAGCAAATAGTTCTAAAATAACCAGAGCAAAATGGACTGGAGGTGTGGCCCACGTGATAGAGCAGTATCTGCTTTTCAAGTACAAAAATCCGAGTTCAAACCCCAGTCCCGCCAAAAAAAAGTGTTGCTCAGGCTTGCCCTGAACTAGGACTACAGATACGCACCACTGTGCCTGGTATTTTCTAAAATCACAATAGATAGTTTTCTTGACCCAAGAGAACTGAATTAGAGTCACAAGTATCTATAAGGATTAGTGAATAATAGTGATGGCCTTTTTTGGGGGGAGTTGCAGTACTGGGGCTTGGTAGGCTCTTACCACTTAAGCCATGCAGTCAACCCTTTTTTTGTGACAGGGTTTTTCAAAATAGGGTCTTTCAAACTATTTGCCCAGGCTCACTTCAAACTGCGATCCTCCTGATAATCTACCTCCTAAGTAGCTAGGATTACAGGTATGAGCCACCGGTGCCCAGCAATAGTGTTGGCCTTTCAAATCAAGGAATGTTCTCCAGATTTTTCTTGGGAGGTATAGCCTTGTCTGGCTGCCAAAAGGGGAGACCATGGTGAGGACTGCTTCAGCTCAGCTCTGATCTTGTTTTAGATACTAAGGATCCTGGTAAGATTTCATTTGAAAAAGGGATCATTGCTAAAGTCATCCTGAATAAAGGGTGTTGGATAACTGGTTAACCATTTCAGGGAAAAGGGATTTTGCCCTCACTGGTATCAGTCTTGATCCAGGGAGGAGTTCCTGGGGATTGTCTTTTTTTTTGGAAATGGGATGTTTGCAACAAGGCAGAACTGAAAGGGGTCTTTAGGGACAGGAAGACGCAAAGTGCTACCTGGTTTTCCCACTCCCTGGCACCAGAAGGAGCTCTATTTCATAGAGCCCCCAATCTCTGCCACCTCCTTTCCCTGCATCTTGTGTAGATCACAAGGATTAGTCTGAGGTGGAGCCTTTCTCCCCTTCCATAGTAGAAGACTAGGGGGGCTCACCAGGGCAGAGGCACAAAGTGGTTTCAAATCTCCCTGTGATTGGCCTCTAGTCTGGGGAGCTAGTTTTTCCTTTTCCTTAAGCCAACTCCTGGTTAAAAAAAGAGACAAGGACAGTAGTTTGGGGAAAGCCCTGGCCCTATCCTTGGCCCTGCTTTTGCAGGAGGCTGACCCTCTCTCTTCCCCAGTGTGCCATGTGCCATCATTAGTGTGTGGCTGAAGGAGGCAAATTGTTAGATGTGATCATAGGGCCTCAGGCTATCTCGGAATCCTGCTACTGAGGGGAAGGCCAGGACGATACGAGTGCCTTCTCATTCCCTCTTTTTTGGGGAGTCAGGGATGCTCTCAGATAGTGGGGTGAGCCCCAGCAGGAGAATGTGTCTTTCGTAGGCCTTGGTCTGCTTGAACATGGTGTCAGTCCCATGGAGGTGGTCTAGCACCCCCAGCACTCCATAGCATTGGTTGAACCTGGAGGAGAGAGGAGGGTGCTGCAGTGCTGATGCTGGAGGCTGTGGATCTCTTTCATCTGTACTGGCATCTCATTTTCTCAGTCCTGTCCCACACCTTTCACCACCATCCTGCTCACCTACATCAGAATAACCTGAAAAATTCTTACAAATGCACCATTCTGGGGCCACTCCAGACCTGCACAATCTGGAGTCTTCCTTTGAAAAGTTCACATGTGATTCTGATGCACATAAGTTTAAGAACATTTGGCAGAACTAGCTCAGGTATGGTTGGGGAACCACCTGCATCGGAACACATTAAAATGCAGATTTCAGTCTTTGCTCTCACAGATGTTTTGATTCAGCATATTTGGAGTGAATCCCAAAAAAGACTCATGGAAGTTCACAGACCACACTTGAAAAAGTCTGGGGCTTCCAGAGAACACAACTCCCTTAGAATTGCTTGCAGAATTTTTGTGCACATATACATCTTTCTGATATGTGTTCATAGCTTACATTAGAGATTCAAAGGGTCCAGGACCCAAATAAAGGTTAAATCTCCAATTGCAGGAAGGACCTAAAGTCAAAAAGAAGGAAAGGATCAAGTTGACCCTAGTGTGGCCATTAGTTCCTTCACTTCCAGACCTCTCCCCGAAGTACTCACATTCCAACTGAGACATCATTGCTATCAAAAGCTTGAAGAAAAGAATGGTGGTTATTGATCAAAGACCCATTATGGGAAGGAGGTTGCTTACTTGAGATGGTGGTAGTCATGGAATTCAGGTGAAGGCAGGAAGGGTAGGTGGTAGCCACAGTGGGAGATGGTGGTGATGATGAGGGCCAAGGAAAACCACATAGTGATAGAGGACAAGTGGGAGCCCATTACTAAGGGACCCACTATCACTGGCAGCATGTTTGAGGCCTGCAAAAGGAAGGATGATTCCAGGTAGGTAGAAGAGACCCAAGTGGAGGTCCACTTTTCCCTAGGGTATCCCAGAGGAAAACTTCTTTGACTGGAGAAGCTGGAAGAACTGCAGGACCTTAATTTGTTGGAGATAGTCATCTTTGTAACAGAACAGGTTATTAGCTGAGTCTCAACTTCATCATTAGCAAAATCAGGATTAAAAGGTTGTTGGAAAGATTAATTGAGGTAATTTGTGTTAGGCACCTAGCATGGCCTAGCATATGACAAATCTACAATAGTAGCTATTTAATGGGATGAAGAAAAAGGTACTCACCACATGTTCTATAGGGTGGGCATAAAGAGAGATCACACCAATGGGAGCTGTCCACTCATGGTGTTTCTTGTGGATTTTCTTATAGAATGTTGGGTGGTGAAGGAGCCTGGGAAAATAAGTGATATGTCAATTCCCCTTTCTTCCTAACCAGATCATCAGAAACCAAAGGTAGGAATGAGTATTACATCCATGGAGCAACATGTGAAGTTCACTGGACTGGCACTCAGACCTGCCTTCCAGTTCTGACCCCACCCTTAAGGCTGTGTACTTCAGGGTGGGTTACTTTGCTTTTCTACCATTTAATAGGATTCCCTGTTGTTCAGTGAGCTGTAGGAAGCTTGAGGAGTCAGCTGTGCTCGGGCAGGGCTCACCGGTGTGAGTAGTAGAACAAGACTTCTTCCATCAGGGTGAAGATTGCCAGCTCCAGAAGGAACCAGTGGAAGGTAGGTAGCTCTTGGCGGCAGGGGTCTCCCAACCACTTGAGGAAGGGATAGAGGAAGACCACCATGGGGAGAGAGATCATGTACTGGTTGAAAAGAACTGTGCGGATAGCCTGGCGTAGTTTCACAGGGTCCACCTGCCCAAGGAAACAAAGAAGATGGACAAGGGTGTGAGAAGTAGATATTTCCATTCTGAAAAAGAGGCTCCACTGTGACCTGCTCAGAGTTGAGCTCTGGGAGGGATATCTAGGCATAGCCTGCAACTCCTGACTGCTACCCATCCCCAGGGCAGGACACATTGCAATAATATAGTCCTGGTTGTTGGCACATGAGTAAGGCCTCTGCACTTGTAAACTGCCTCCAGTAGCCTTGGGTCTCTGCCTGAGCCAGCCTTCCCCTTCCTGGTTCTGCACATAACACCAATGACCTCCCCATTTTTCTGGCCAGGCCTCATGTATTCTAAGAAGGTAAACTCAGGAGCCATTGGAGCACTTGAAGAAGGCTACCAACTCTTGGGTTGACATCCCAGTTCAGTCCTTCAGTCTCTAATTGGGAGAAATTTGTTCATGAAGAATACAGAAATCAAAGTGATCTGCCCCCAACCCCCCAGGTTTCATATGTTTAGCTTCACTGTACTGGACCCAGAGCAGAGAGGGAGGCCTCTTGGTTACATCCTGGTTGTCACAGTGGAGCTGTCAGAATGGGGGCTGTACCCAAGGGGTTTCACCAGAATCCTCTGTGTTTGCCCCAAATGCCCTACTAGCCTCAGTGTTCACTCTCAATTTTTACTTCCATCTCATTATGAGGTCAGGTCTGCCTCACAAGCATAAGGTACTAAGTTCAAACCCCAGTACCCCCCCCCAAAATTCATTATTACATGTTTGGAAAGAGTGGACAAAGAGGGATTGTAAACCAAATAAACAGTTTTTCAAAGAGAAACAAAAATATGAGTGGTAGTGAGTATGGGAAATGGAGTGAAGGGTTTTCATATTTTAGATGGGAAAAATTACAGTGTGTTTGTAATAATCCAGAGAGGAATTATCTGGGGAGAGTAGGGAGACAGAAGGCAGAGAATACAAAAAAGAAACAGGAATTGCTAAAGCATTTTCCGGGGAGGCGATAGGTGTTGGATGCAAACAGTGGAGGAATCAGCTGCAGACAGGAGCAAGGAGCCACTTATGGGCAGCACATTGAGGCCAGCAGGGATAGTATGTCAGGCTGGTGCTAGAGGGATGCTGATGTTGGGGGGATTCTGAGAAACTTTTGTGCTTGCTTGAATTTTGCTAGTGAAGTGCTGAGCAAGGCCATTCTCTGGGGAGTGAGGCAAGGGGGAGGAGTTGCTGGGAATTTCAGGAGACAGAGGTGTGTGTTAGGTGTCTGGGACAGCGGGAGAGTACAGACCAGGGAGGAATCATAGGAATGCCAGGTCAGCTCCCACAGAGGACCTATTTCCAATGTCTGTATCAGGAACCAGTTCTTCCTGGAGATAGCCATAGACTAAATGGCTCCAGGAGGTTCCTTCCTGCTAGTGCTCACATGGTGCTGGAATGCTGGACTTGGAGTCAGATGGAATGAGTTCCAGCTCTGTTTCCTAGTAGCAGTCTAATCTTGAGTTCGTTGGTACCTTTCTACACCTTGGCCTCACAAAAGGCAAGGAGATGGCCCTACCTAGCTCTCCAATCACTGTAGACTGCAAGATTTCTAGGTGTCAGGTAATATTCTTGAGAGCTGATGTAGACTGGTGGTGAATGATGGGAACCCTGGAGTCAGAAAGCTCAAGCCCATGTACCATTTCAAAGCCTTCGTTTCCTCATCTGAACAATGACAGTTATGACAGTACTTGACCTTGAAATTGTAAGCATTTAGTCAATGGTGGCTTCTCAGGAAACAACCAGGTTTGACAGATGAACAGTTTGCAAGGACCCAGCACTGATTTTGATACTTTGGGCTCCAACCCATGTCTTGCCAACCTGGGCCTGAAGGAAGCCCTCTTGGCTGGCTGGTGGCTGTCATCTCAAGTGAGGGGGCCTGTGAACCAGACCAGCTGCTCCACTTCAAGAGGGGACCATTCCAAAGGACTGAGTTAAGAACATTTTTTTGACCTATTTGCTTTTCTGGAGTACTGGGCAGGGAATGCCCTGAGAGCTGAGGTGACTCACCCAGATACCTGGGCAGATTACAAAATGAATGTCTTGCCTGGGAAAGGAGCCAGGGCATGGTTTGGGTGGAGTTGAAGAAAGAATCTGGTTTCAGAACGAGCTTATTCCCTGTTGTGTAAGAAAAGGTTCTGGAAGTTGTCAGAGGACCAAGCAGGTAAACTAGGCTGAGGAGCAGTGGGACTCACTTCCTGGTGCTGAGCAGGTTGGAGCTCCATGTGAAAAGGACAGGATCTGGTTTACAGTAGATTATCTCTAATACATCACACTTACTGGTTGAAATGGATAATTAGAGGAACTGCTTAAAAAACAACTACCAAGATCAGGCATGGTAGTGCAATTCTATAATCTCAGTTACTCCATTAAGGCCAACCCCAAAAAAGTGGGACCCTATCTCAAGAAAGAAGCTGGGTGTGGAGATACACTCCTGTCATCCCAGCTATATGGGAGGTGGAGGTAAGAGGATCACAGTCAGAGGCTGGCCCTTAGCAAAAGCATAAGACCCTATCTGGAAAAAACAAAAACAAAAATGACTTGTGGCTCAAGTGGTAGACCCTGAGTTCAAAACTCCTGTACACCCAAAACAAAACAAATAAATGACAACAAAAAACTGCTGCAGCACATTCAGAATCCACACCATCCATCTGTTAGAGTGGGGATAGCCTTTGTTTCAGCAGTTGTTTCTCAACAACAGCAGGTATCTGTGTTTTCAGCATCTAGTCATCACGTCTCTGCTCCCATGGATAAAAGGGAGCTGCCTGCAATCTCTGGGAAGCCCAGTACCAGACGGTGACAGTCTTTTCTGTTTCTATGTGCTGACCGCAGTGTGGTACAGCTGCCCTGGGAGGTACAGAGCCTGGGCTGGGAGCCAGAAGTCAGAAGACTGGCCACCAGCTGAGTGGCTCTGAGATTTGGGGCCAATTATTTCCTCTCTCTAACCTTCTAAACTGAGGAAGCCTTGACCATAATTACTTGGCTCCTCTGGGCCTCTAACCCTGCTTTCTGGGCTATGACCAGGAGAACTGGCCGCAATACTTACAGGCTCATTCTTGCCGACCTGAATCCTGTAGCGGGAGATGAAGCTGGGTTTTCCAGTTATGTCCACCACCAGTAGAAGCCCATTGAAAGCCCAGAAGAGCAGCCCAGGCACTTGAGCAGCACCTGAAGTTGGAGAGCAGAAGGGAAGAATCAAGGTAGCTCCAGGTTCTCACAGTTCATGTGTTCACAGAACACACTTTTTACAGAACTGTCCCTTGCCAGGGAGATTTTAGTGCTCAAGATGAGAAGACTTAGCTTCAGTCCTGAGTAACACATTAGCTGTGGAATCATGGACATGTCACTTAAGGAGTATTTATAGTTTTTTTTGTAGTTCAGGCTGGCCTAGAATTTGCTATGTAACCTAGGCTGGGCTTGAATTCCTGATCCTCCTGCCTCAGCCTCCCAAGTGCTGGGATTATAGGTGTGTATTTCTTTTCATTTTTTTGAAATGAGCTCTGTATTTCTTTTCATTTTTTTGAAGTACTGGGGCTTGAACCAGGGCCTACACCTTAAGCCACTCCACCAGCCCTTTTTTGTGATGTGTTTTTTATAAGATAGAGACTCATGAACTATTTGCCTGGGCTGGCTTCAAAATGTGATCCTCCTGATCTCTGCCTCCTGAGTAGCTAGGATTACAGGTGAGATACCAATGTCTGGCTCTATTTATTTTCATAGCCATAAAATGGGAACAACAATCTTCAAGGTGATTAGAGACAAATATATGTGTGCAATGGTGCTAATATAATCCACTCCAACACAGAAATGACTTTAGACTGACAGGTGGGAGTCTGTGTACCTGAACATTTTATGAGTTGCTAAGGAAGGAGAAGCCAAGGCAGTGTTGGTTATGGTGTGGTTCACAATGAGCTTTGGGCTAGGAAGTCAGTCTGGAGGCCTAATCCCCACTGCCTGCCCAGCTGGGCAACAAGACCCTGGTATCCTCTAGTCTATTCAAGTCTTCATACTCTACTCTTGGGGAACCATGGTCCACACTGGTGTGTTCATGGCTCTAAGAATCCCTACAGCAGAGAGAAATGTTCAACATTAAAATCCACCTCTCCCTGCCTTGTTTGACCCCAAGTACTCTTTTCTTCAGGACACCTAAGGACACGATCTCATACATCCGTTTTCCCAGGACAATTTCAATTTATATCTGTCATTCCAGAATAATTTATCTTATTTTATTGACTTTTTTTTTTTGATGGGATTGGGGTTTGAACTCAGGGCTTCGCACTTGCAAAGCAGGCACTCTACCTCTTGAGCCACACCTCCAGTCCATTTTGCTCTATTTACATTGGAGATGAGGTCTCATGAACTATTTGCAGAGGCTGTCCTCACAAATCATGTCTCCAAAGTAGCTAGAATTACAGATATGATATTTCTTTAATTATTTATTTTTGGTGGTATGAGGTTTGAACTCAGGGCCTCATGCTTGCTAGGCAGACTCTCTACCACTTGAGACATTCTATCAGCCCTGTTTTGTGTTGGGTATTTTCAAGATAGGGTCTTTCAAAGTATTTGCCTGGGGCTGGCTTTGATCCTCCTGACTGATCTCTGCCTTCCAAGTAACTGGTATTATAGGCATGAACCACAGGTGCCCAGTTAAGCACGATTCTTAAATAATACCTCTTTGCACTATCACAAGTATCCCTATTTGGATGATAAATTAATCTTACCATTGTACCTATTAATATGCCACAGCACTGATGTTCTGATATTTTAGAAAATACTGATCAAGACTTAACATTTAGATTTGACTTTTTCTTCCACATCCCAGTTTTCCATGAAGTCATCCCAAGTATCTGATTTCTCACTGTGAATAAATACCACTTTGTCCACTCCAGTTGGCAGTTATTCAAGTGACTTTATTTGTTCATATTTTGCCTCCTTCTTTAGATTCAAAATCCCAAAGGACAAGGAAATTTCACTGAACTCTGTGTCTCTATATTCCTCTTCCCACCCCTGCCTGCTCTTTCAGCTGCAGTGCCTTGTGATAAGTGAGACATAGGAAAGACTTAGCCAGCACTGTAGGGGACTACAATTGGTATGAACATTCTGGAAGGTAATTTGATAATAGATGAAGTGAAAAAATAAGGTGAGAAAGACAGACAGATACAGAAAGAGGAAAAAACAAAGACATCTATATTTGTGCTCATAAATGTCCCTCACAACATTAAAAAAAAAAATCACAAGGCCCAGCACTGGTGGCTCACACCTATAATCCTAGCTATTCAGGAGGCAGATCAGGAGGATTGCTATTTGAAGCCAGTCCCAGAGAAATGGTTCGTGAGACCCTATCTCAAAACCCAACACTAAACAGGGCTGGTGAAGTGGCTCAAGTGATAGAGTGCCTAGCAAACTGAGGACCCTAAGTTCAAACTCCAGTAACCACAAAAAAAAAAAAGTTTAAATCAGCCTCAATATCCATTAGTAGGGAATGGACTCAGCACATTAGCTTTTCCATGTAATAGAATACACTGAGAAGCTTAAAATATTAATTCTATATTAATTAACATGGGAAGATATCTACAGTCTATTCAGTGAAAGAAAACTTTTTAAAAATGGTGGTCTGGGGATGTCTTGCCTGGCATACACAAAGTTTCTATCCCCAGCATTGTCTCTCTCCCAAAAAACTGTCTCGTAAATAACTAACTATATGTCTAAAGTATTAGAGATACACACTCATATATTAACAGTGGTTCTTTCCTCCTTTTTTTTTTTTTTTGTGGTACTGGGGCTTGAAGTCAGGGCCTTCACCTTGAGCCACTCCACCAGCCCTTTTTTGTGATGTGTTTTTCCAAGATAGGATCTTGTGAACTATGCTTGGGCTGGCTTCAAACTGCAATCCTCCTGCTCTCTGCCTCCTGAGTAGCTAGGATTACAAGTGTGAGCCACCAGTGGCCGGTCCTTTTTTTCTTTCTAGCCACTTTTTTAAACTTAACATCCTCATTCCTTATAATAATGGACTAAGAAATCTCAAAGTGAAGAATGGAAAAGGAGGAGGCTAGAATCAGGGGCTCAGCCCTCCACAGTGGAAACCTCACCTATAATGAAGAGGATCCACTCTTTGCCTTCAAATGTAGAAAGCAGCCTCTCCCACTGGGCTTGCCAAAAGTAGCCAGAAGCACCCCAAAATCTCTGAAGATGCCTTAGAAGAAAAAAGCCATTCATGTTGCTAGATGAAGACTGGTAGGCAGACAGCCTCTCACTTCACACGGTCTCGACCACCACCACTCTGCAAGATCCTGGATTCGAGAGGGGTGGCACAGACTTACCATGTGACTGAATTCCAGAAGGCCACAAGCAAGAGGAGACCAGAGCCCAGGATAAAAGCTGTCCTCCTCATGGAGCCCCAGATGTGTCCCTCCTAGGGGAGGACAACGAAGTGTCAGATCCAGCAAGGCTCCTGCCTCCACCATGTCAGCAAGGCTATTTGCTGACCTTTCCCCATCTGTGGGAGGTTCATGCCTACCAAGGACTCTCAGCTGTCCCTGGGTGTATTTATTAAAACTAGTTCTCCAGGTTTGAGAAGGGCAAGAAATTACCCTGACTCCCAGAGAAACTGTTGGGCAATGTATCACTCAGAGAAGGACAGATGAGACTTCTAACAGCTGTGCAATGTGTTACTAGTCCTCTTGAAAAATGGAGATACTCACTCTCAGCACTTTGAATCACCATTTTAAAATTCCCAATGTTGGAGACAGAGATAGAAGGATGGTGATTTGAGACCAGCCAAGGCCAAAATAAATAAATAAATAAATAAAGTTATTGAGCCTCCATCTCAAAGAACAAGCAGGTGTAGTGGTATATATTTATAATCCTAGCTATGCGGGAGGTAGAGGTAGGAAGATTGCAGTTTGAGGCCAGCCTGGGCCAAAAATGTGAGACTCTATCTGAAAAATAACTAAAGCAAACTGGGCACCAGTGGCTTACACCTGAAGTCCTAGCTACTTGGGAGGCTGGGATCTGGAGGATCGCAGTTCCAGGCCAGCTCAGGCAGGGAGTTCTCTGAGACCCCATTGCAACCAATAACTGGATGCAGTGGTGTGCTCCTATCATGTCAGCAATGTTAGGAAGCCTAAAATGGATTGTGGTCTGGGCTGGCCTGGGCAAAAAGCAAGACCTTATCTTCAAAATAACCAGAGAAAAAAGGGCTGGACGCATGGCTCAAGCAGAATACTTGCCTCACATGTGCAAAGCCTTGAGTTCAAACCTCAGTACTGTCTCCCAACCCCCGCTAAAAAAATGAAAAACTTCCCAATGCCTACAGTCCTCTCAGTTACACCAGAGTCTTGAGGGTGGGACATGGGCTACATGTTTTTAAACCCTCCCAGGTAATTCTAGTGGGTGAGCAGTTTGAGACAGTCATCATAGAAGGACCTGCAGAATCCTCAAAGAAGAAACTCTTCCTAAGTCACAGGGCCACCAGCTGGGCATGGTGACTAGTGGCCACTGGCAATTGCTGGGTGCCCCTTATACATTCTCTAAACCAAAGGTCATTGCAAGTGTGTAGGCAAAATAATCAGGTCCCGGACTCAGAGGGAGAACACCAGCTTCCAGTTACGTCACCAGTTTCCCTTGTACCATGGACAGGAACAACATTTGTTAATGTCACACCCATATTCTAAGTTCCTAAGTCCAGATGGGCTGTGCAACTGTTCCTCCACAGGACAGAACTGGGGGAGGTGTCCCTATGGCATGTGTATCCTGTCTCATCTGCAGTTAGCAGGAGCAGCAGGTCAGGAAGTGAGGACAGATCTGACCAGTCTTTACCTTTCAGTCCAGAGGAGTTCAGATTGATTCATTCTGAGCAATCTGGATCTGCACCAAATCATCTCTCTCTCTCTCTCTTTGCCTAGATTGACTTTGTTCTTTGACACGGCCATTCAAGAGTCACCTTCAGTTTTGCTACATGGGTCACTCTGGACTGTTCTGATTTTCCAATTGTTCCCTTTATAGGATCCCAAGGGCTCTTTTCAGGAACTTTTCTGGACTCATTGAGAATTTTTCACCCTTTGAGTTTCAGCAAACCAAATTAAGTCAAATGGAAATCTTAATTTTATGTACAGGATTAAACGGTTTTTCAGGAATGGTGGGTTATCTAATCTCTCCAGTAGTCCAGATGAAGGCAATATAATAATTTATATTCTATTGAAGTGTGGGAACATACAGTGCAGAAGTTAGCTGTGGTCACGGGCCACTTTTCAGCCCCAGGCTCCAGCCCTATGAGACTTCTGTTGTCTCCAGAGCAGTTGCGGAAAGGGCCGGTTCTGAAGTCAAGACATGAGGCATACTTAGGGCCGCAAGCAGGCAGGAAGACCAAGAGAACCCCACCAAGCACACACATCGCACCCCGTTCCCGCCCCCCAACCCTGCTCCCTCATGTAGGCAAAGGAGTTCCTGTGCAGTTATACAGGACTTTGGAATCAAGTGGTGACTGCTCAGTCGCTAAATGAGAACATCGCCATGGGCATCCACCCCTAGACCTTGGAGGAGCCTTCAGATATCTACAGCAGGGTAGACATGGAAAGAGCCTCTGACTTCAGTCTCTCCGTATGGCAGGCAGAGTGCTGGCATTTATTTACCTGCTTGGACTTCTCAGTGGGCAGCATGCTTCCAACGTCGCCCGTCATCTAGAACGAGAAAACACAGGTGGTCATGGTTCCTTTCACAACCATGTGGAAGGAACATGGTTCCTCACAACTCCTGAGGAAGTAGTGAATGAAGAAGTCAAGGCTGGCAGTTTTTGTTATTGTTCGTGGAACCAAATAAACTCATTCTAAAATTTACATGGAGACATAAGTAAGCAATAAATAGGTGGGAGAATGCCAGAAAGGAAGAAGAGTGATGGAAGGCAAGGGAACAAGGAATATGAGGTGTATCGACTGTAAAAACATAACACTTTCTAAAAATTTTATTCTCTCTTCATTTCTTGCAGTTATTAAAGAGTCATTGCTATAAGAGAAAGGAATGGGCTTGCTTACCCAGCACTTAAAGAGTAATTCTAGCTGGGCACCGGTGGCTCACACCTGTAATCCTAGCTACTCAGAAGGCAGAGATCAGAGGATGGGGTTCAAAGCCTGCCAGGGCAAATAGTTCATGAGATCTTTTTTTTTTTTTCAAACCCAAGTGATACACAGGAAAAAATTTCATTCACTTGATGTATCTGAATAGTCTAAAGAAACTGTCTACCCTGAATCTGTCCATTACGATTTCACTTAATTCGTCCCGGTCATCAAAAGGCAGCTTTTATTCTAGGGAGGTATGGTAGTTCATGAGATCTTATCTTGAAAAAACCCAACACAAAAAAGAGGACTGGCAGAGTGGCGCAAGTGGTAGAGTGCCTGCCTAGCAAGCATGACTCCCCGAGTTCAAACCTCAGTACTACACACACACACACAAAGTGTTTAAAGACTTCATTTTATTTATTTATTTTATTTTAATTTTTTATTGTGCTGAGGGTACATTGTGGCATTTATGAAAGTTCTTACAGTATATCAAACTTATCATACTTGAGTTCACCCCCTCCACCATACTCCTTTATCTGCCTCTCCCTCCCAGAGGATTTCATTTTAAAGACTTCTGGAATCTTAATAAAACTGATATTTAACAAGTAGAGTAATTAAGGTTTACTCATTTTTGTCATGTGATATTGCAGGATTTTTCTACTTATATAAAGAAAATTATCAAGTAATTTTTTAAATTTAAGGAATCCATTCATTAATAACTGCAGGATAAAAATTCCAGTACTAAAATTTAGAAGCTGATGAATACAAATTAAAAACTGATGGCATCTCTACTTAGAAAAAAACAAAACCCACAAAAAAAGTGGCATTGTTCATCATATGTTCTGAATAAGGTATTTTTGACCATGTAAACATATTAAGTATGTTTTCCTCTTATTTTTAAGCATCACGCTCAATATGTACATATGTGAACTACTTTTTTGAATTAAAAAAATCTTTTTTCTGAGCAGATCACTTAGCACCAAGGGGACTAGAGTTTTATCTAACTTTGGTAGAGGAAGATTATTTCATTTACAAGCAGCTCATCGTTCATCAAGGACATCTACAAACACATGTCCCCATGCATGTACATAGACTGTACAGAACTAAAAAATCTGGTAAAGCATAAACTATCTGGACTCTCCCAAGGTATATGGAAATTAGAGGTCAAAAGAAAGCACTGTAGTCAAGTAAGCATTCTGTTCTGTGGAGCAACGGGTCTTTGTGTGCAGCAGGATTGTCTCAAAGGCAGGAGGGTTAAACCACACACCAGCTCTTTATGTTCCCCATAGTCATGGAGGTAGTGTGTCGCTGTGGCAGTTCGCCTGTTCTGTCAAAACAACACTTGTATCCAGGCACCAGTGACTCACACCTGTAATCCTAGCTACTCAGGAGGCAGAGATCAGGAGGATCACAGTTCAAGCCAGCCCAGGAAAAACAGTTCATGAGACCCAATCTTGCAAAAAACCTTTAAAAAAAAAAGGGCTGGTAGAGTGGCTCAAGGTGTAGGCCCTGAGTTCAAGCCCCAACAAACAAAGGACACTTGTGTTCATACCACCTGCCCATCTCTGTGCTGGTTCCACATTGCAGTCAAGGCCAGTATTAGCTGCCATTTCCTTCCCTCCCCTCCCCTCCCCTCCCCTTCCCTTCCGATACGGGTTTCACACTTGCCAGGCAGGCACTCTACCACTTGAGCCACTTTGCCAGCCCTTTTTTGTGTTGGGTATTTCTGAGATAGGGTCTTTCAAGCTATTTGCCCAGGCTGGCTTTGAATCTTGATCCTTCTGATCTCTGCCTCCTGAGTAGCTAGGATTACACGCATGAGCCACCGGCATTGGCTACCTGTCATTTCTTGAAGTGGCACATGTTGTTTTTATGGGGTTTTAAGTTTACAGTGTAACTCATTCTTCTATTTGAAGCATATATTTCAAACATATAAACATGATGTTCAAATTTTTCCAGCAAGTCAGAAATCTTTTGTCCAGTCTCACACACTTCCATGTACCATGCAGACCTGACTATACCTGTGTGAACTTGACTTTGCCCACTGTTATTGCAGTTTGCACTGCACCAATGCTGATCCATATTCAATACATGTATGAATGTATTAAAACAGCACAGATATGTAAAATAATTTTTTTAGTGATTCCGGGGTTGAACTCAGGGCCTCATGCTTAGCTGAGCAGATGCTGTACCACTTGAGCCACTCTGCCAGCCCTTTTTGCATTGATTATTTTTGAGATAGGGCCTCACTTTATGCCAGGACTGTCCTGCACCATAATCCTCCTATTTGTGCTTCTCTACATAGTTGGGATGACAGGCATGCACCACTGCACTCAACCAGTGGTTGAGATGAGGTCTCACCAACTTTTTGCCTGGGCTGGCCTTGAACCAACATCTTCCTAATCTCTGTCTCCTGAGTGGCCAGGATTATGGGTTTGAGTCACTGTGCCTGGCCTAAATATGTAAAAAAAATTTTTTTTTGCTGTACTGGGGTTTGAACTCAGGGTCTACACCTTGAGCTACTCTACCAGCACATTTTTGTGAAGTGTTTTTCCAACATAGGGTCTCTTAAACTCTTTGCCCGGGCGGGCTGGCTTCGAACTGTGATCCTGCTGATCTCTGCCTCCTGAGTAGCTAGATTTCAGGTGTGAGCCACCAGTGTCCAGATAAATATGGAAAATTTTTATTTTTTTACTTAAAAAAAAAAGAAATCTATTGTGAGTTTTTTTGTTTTTGTTTTTGTTTTTGTAGTAGTGAGGTTCAAATTCAGTGCCTCACACTTGCTAGGCAAGTGTTCTACCACTTAAGCCATACCCAGCCTGGTTTTTCTGACAGTTTGAATCTTCAGCATGTATTCTTGCAACTTTGGTTGCCTCTCTGTGGGCCTTTTCTTTTTTTCTTGTTGTGGGGGCGAGGGAGGGGGGAAAGAGAGAGAGAGAGACAGAGACAGAGACAGAGAGAGAGACAGAGACAGAGAGAGAGAGAGACAGCCTTTTCTTTTTATTGCCTTTCCTGGCTATGCTATTCAGTTCTTTTGCAGTGAACTTCAAGTGTCTCTCCGTAGTTGATATGGTGGCATGAGTTTTCTGGGACAGTGACGAAGCTTGGTGAAAGGATGTTCAGGTACTGTGCTTCCTATGATTTGCTGCTGTCTTGACCTTGTTGAGTATTGCCACTTTTTGTTTTGCTATAAACCTTTAATAAGTGAATGAAAAAAATGCTCAACATTTGGCTGGAGCTCTGGCTTAAGTGGTAGAGTGCCTGCCACAAGGTAGCAAGCACAAGGCCCTGAGTTCAAACCCCAGTACAGCTCAAAAAAAAAAAGATGCTCACCATCATGAGGGAAATGGAAATTGGAAGGACAATGAGACTTCACCTCATACTCATTAGGATGACTACCATAAAAACAGACCAGAATTGAGGGCGCCTGCTCCAAAAAAAAAAAAAAAAAGAAGAGAAGAAGTAAAGTGGGGGAAGTGGAGCCCTATGCACTGTTGGTGGGAATGTAAAATGGTGGGAATGGTGTGGCAAATGTGGAAAACAGTACTGCAGTTTCTCACTAAGATCTTAAAACAAAACTACCATATGACCCAGCAGTTCTGTTTCTGGGTATACATCCAAAAGAACTGAAAGCAGAATCTCAAAGAAATATTTACACACCCAAATTCACAGCAGCACTATTCATAGCAGCTGAAAAAAAAGTAAGAAAATTCTGTCATATGCTGCAACATGAATGAAACTCGAGGACTAAATGAAATAAGTTAGTTACAAAAGGGTAAATTCTGCATAATACCACTTATCTGAGGTTTGTATGGGAGTCAAATTCACAGAAGCAGAAAATGAACAGTTGTTGTCAGGCAGGGAGAGGTGGAAGCAGGGAGTTGTTATTTAACAGGTAAAGAACTTCAGTTTTGCAAAATGAAGAGCTTTTAACCACTTAAAAGTGGTTAAGGGCTGGGGGTACCTGGCTCAAGTGGTACTGTGTCTACCTGGCAAATATCAGGCTCTGAGTTCAAATTCCAGCACTGCCAAAAATAAAAATAAATAAAATGGTTAAGATGGTAACTAGGCATTGTGGTATACTCTTGTAATCCCAGCACTCAGGAGACTAGGCAGGAGGAGCTTGAGTTTGATGCCAGCCTGGGCTACTTAGTAAGACCCTATTAAGAAAAAAAAAAGTTTCAATGATATATTTTATGTTTTTAACCATAATTTTCAAAAACAAGAAAGCTTTAATAAATAAAAGGGTGATGGTAGCATAAAATAGGCAGACATGTAACAGATTAAAGTCGAGAAATAGACCTAAACATTTACTTATATAGTGAATTTAGTGAATAAGATGAGACCAATATAAGCTGGGCACTGGTAGCTCACTCCTGTATCCCTAACTTCTTGGAAGTCTGAGATCAGGAGGATCACAGTTTGAGGCCAGTCTGGGCAGACAGTTCACTGGACTCCATCTCTAAAATAACCACAGCAAAATGGATTGAAGGCATGTCTCAAACATAAAAGAACCTGCTTTGCAAGAGTGAAGACTGGAATTCAAACTCCAGTCCAACCAAAAAAAAAAAAAAAAAAAGGAGATGGGGAGGAAGAGATCAATATAAATGAAACTGAACAGATGCTGACCTTCCATTATAGTAAGAGAAATGTGAAGTCAAACTGCAATGTGATACTATTTCTCATCCATCAGAATGGCAAAAAAAATTCAAGTTTGACCACAGGCTCTTGAGGTTAGTCAGGTTGAGAGGA